ACTCGAGGTTGCTGGCCCAATTTTACCCATCCCATGCCCATACACTTCAATCCATTGGCACGTGGCACACTAGAAATAGACATGGAGTGAAATTTGTCCTTGCCAAATGTGTCAAATTTCTAGGCACCAGCCGGATTGACTTTACACATACGGTGTACTAGGCACTTCATTTCCTTCACATAGCATTAATTCACTTTAATGATAAAATAAAAGAGGAGAGTTTTTAATCTCCAAGTATGAAAACCAAGAAATGAATCTACATGGAGGGTGGATCATCACTGTGACCTATGATTAATGCTTCTTCTCCATCACCAGATCAAGAAGATCCACCAATTTGACACTGGATCTTACCAGCGTGTGATACCATCGACGCGATTTACATAGATGCGCCTTCGCTTTGACAACTTCATCGACATCAGTGAATGAAACGCCTACTTTTATGTATCACAGCAACTTCTTCTGTTCGATTACCATTCTATCCCTGTTAGACATTGTTTTCTCTTTGGTGACTTTGTCACTGTGACTTATTGTGCAGAAGCTCAGATGTCTCTCACATAACAGAGCCAACCAATCTTCATCTGGCAAACCTTTAAAAATGCCTTTAATTCTTAATGGAAATCATTCTACACAATTTCTTGGTTAATTTTTGCACAGAGGACGTGAAGGGAGTCACTTTGATGAGTCCTGTCGCCTACTTTTATCCTACTGTGTACTAATTCTTAGTCCGTCTTCTGTGATCATAACTATTGAACAAATTTTGTTATTATTCTACCTACAGTGGAGTGACAAAACTAAAGAGGATTATCACACTACAATAAAGTGCCAATTGGCACAGTTTTCCATGTTTGCATCTTTACCAAATGGGTGCCATACTTATGTGACGCACGGAATTAGAGACAATACGCAAATGGACAGGTCACATATTTGTGACACCAAAAGTAAGAAATACAGACTGGAACTAAAAATAAATCACGCCATGTCTTATCCCAACTTTCTCACCTAAAAAGGAGGCAATGGGGAGTGAATGACACATGCCGATTTGGAGGTCAATCAAGCCTATAAGTACCAACCCCTTAACAATATTTCCTTACTAGAATAGGTCACATACATTTTCTCATAAAAAATAATGCATAAGGCCTTTGTAGGGGGACTTAAAGAAGGAAGACGAGGGGTTTGCTTTTACAAGTGGCGAATTTCTAGCATGCCAGTGCTCTTCCCCATTGGTGCTCTTTGAATGTCTTTTAAGTAACATCTAAACATTCAACATGAAAGTATCGCTGCTTTCACAATTCAACTGGGCCTTTTTCCACATATCCATTCATTCTTGCCTCCAAGAGTCCCGAAATCGAATACTGGTTAGGGAATTAAGCCCTCGTTTGTTCCTTCTCTCCCTCACAATATAAACAAACTACACGTTCTCTTGGTAAGACTGGGAGAGCTAAAATTTAAAGTTTTCAAATTACTTATTCTTCTGCTTTCCACAAACGTGATGTCAGGGGAACATCCCTACCTTCCCTACTACCGCTACTACTTAGCCTTCATCCACTCTTGAGTTGTCGCCGAACAGGTCATTTTGTCTAATATACGCATGCATAGTAATCATGCTCACATCAGGGTGGCCAAAGATGATGAATCAAGTAAAATGGGGAGGCTGTCCTCCTCTTTCTCATCCTCCACCTCCTCCTCCATGGGTGTCTCAATGGAAAGGTCTTCTCCACCCACCCACACCCTAAAGTTACGTTCGTATTGTTTTGTCATTTTCCACCACTCTGATACATAATTGTCACATTTTGGAAGCTTTGTAAGTGATTTATGCTACTGTGCAATGCTTTTTGGCTATTTTGCGGTTTTAACTTTTGCTCTGGATATACTACTTAAATAGGGATGAACTTTATATCTCTTATAGGTTGATTTTTCGACACTTAAATAATGCCTGAGTTAAAAAACAGACTGCATAAAAAGATGATCTGCTGCTAGTCGTTAAGCTGTCATCTGGACAAAGCGATGAAAAAAGTAGTCCATTTTTTGTAATGAAGTTTTATGATTTAGCACTTTTAAACTCAGCCAATAAGGTGAAGGGGTTAAATAGACTTAATCAACTCTCCCTGTATAGCAAAGACTGATTCATTCTTAGGTATTTCACAAAATAATTGGCACTCTTGTTAGTCGCATCAGATATGCTCTTCGTCTGAATTTACCATTTTCTTGTCCCGCTTA